GCCCCGCCTGAGCGAGGAGGGTATCGGCAAACCATACTATTTACATTGTTTCGTGCCCCTCCCACACCTCCAGGGAGGCCCCGCCTGAGCGAGGAGGGTATCGGCAAACCATACTATTTACATGGTTTCGTGCCCCTCCCACACCTCCAGGGAGGCCCCGCCTGAGCGAGGAAGGTATCGGCAAACCATACTATTTACATGGTTTCGTGCCCCTCCCACACTTCCAGGGAGGCCCCGCCTGAGCGAGGAGGGTATCGGAAAACAATACTATTCACATGGTTTCGCACCCCTCCCACCCATCCAGGGAGGCCCCGCCTGAGCGAGGAGGGTATCCGAAAACCATACTATTTACATGGTTTCGTGCCCCTCCCACCCCTCCAGGGAGGCCCCGCCTGAGCGAGGAGGGTATCGGAAAACCATACTATTTACATGGTTTCGTGCCCCTCCCACCCTTCCAGGGAGGCCCCGCCTGAACGAGGAGGGTATCGGAAAACCATACTATTTACATCGTTTCGTGCCCCTCCCACACCTCCAGGGAGGCCCCGCCTGAGCGAGGAGGGTATCGGAAAACCATACTATTTACATGGTTTCGTGCCCCTCCCACCTCTCCAGGACGGCCCCGCCTGAGCGAGGAGGGTATCCGAAAACCATCTATTGACATGGTTTCGCGCCCTCCCACCTCTCCAGGTGCCCCGCCGAGCGAGGGAGTGTATCCGAAAAAACCAGACTATTTACATGTTTCGTGCTCCTCCCACCCTGCAGGGGGCCCCGCTCTGAAGCGAGGAGGGTATCCGAAAAACCATAATTTACATGGTTTCGTGCCCCTCCCCACCCCGCAGGGGGGCCCCCGCCCTGAGCGAGGAGGGTATCCGAAAAACCATACTATTTACATGGTTTTCGTGGCCCATCCCACCTTCCAGGGAGGGCAACACCCATAGTATTTACATGGTTTCGTGCCCCTCCCACCACTCCAGGGAGGCCCCGCCTGAGCGAGGAGGGTATCCGAAAACCATACTATTTACATGGTTTCGTGCCCCTCCCACCTCTCCAGGGAGGCACCGCCTGAGCGAGGAGGGTATCGGAATACCATACTATTTACATGGTTTCGTGCCCCTCCCACCCCTCCAGGGAGGCCCCGCCTGAGCGAGGAGGGTATCGGAATACCATACTATTTACATGGTTTCGTGCCCCTCCCACCCCTCCAGGGAGGCCCCGCCTGAGCGAGGAGGGTATCGGAATACCATACTATTTACATGGTTTCGTGCCCCTCCCACCCCTCCAGGGAGGCCCCGCCTGAGCGAGGAGGGTATCGGAAACCATACTATTTACATGGTTTCGTGCCCCTCCCACCCCTCCAGGGAGGCCCCGCCTGAGCGAGGAGGGTATCCGAAAACAATACTATTTACATGGTTTCGTGCCCCTCCCACCCCTCCAGGGAGGCCCCGCCTGAGCGAGGAGGGTATCGGAAAACCTCTCCGGTCTTCACTGCAGTGGCTGCGATTAAATAGCACTCCGCGTGGGCTTCAGAGAAGCCCCCCCCCCACGCGTCGGCCCGAGTACAGTCAGGCTAGTAGGTTAACGCCGTGTGCACAAAACCATAATGCATCGATACATTGTTTGGGAGATTATTGGCAGTCTTTTAAACCGCTCTTGGCCGATCAGTGTCTGCGTTCGAATTGTAGTTACCAGACACCTCGGTAAGTGCTTTCGTCTAGCGAACTCGTGTCGCCCACCCTCTTGTATAACCTCGACTGGACGAGGGAAATGAGACCACTCAGACCAACCTCACGAATCGGACCTCGCGAGGAAAATGAGACCACTCAAACCAACCTCCCGCTGCTGCTCCTGCTGCGGTTCCT